AGTGGAAGAGGTGGTACGAACAGCAAGAACTGGTACAGCATCGAGCCTCATCAATTTCGCAGCACTCTGATCGAATCCCAAATCCGATTTCGTGAGTTCTTCTAATACCTAAAATTTCCAATTAGATAAAAATAGAAAGTGATGTGATCATCAAGGAGGCTTAAATACACGTTATGATCACTTAACAGCTGGAGAATTTGTATTTCCATCGCAGCTCAGCAGAAAATATTCCGATGCACAATATTAAATTAACTATACTGAGCTTTCCCAGTGAAATATACCAACAGAACAGCCCAAAATGCTAAGTTATCTAACGCAAAACAACATTCCAGGAACATCGGAAATCTACGAATGAAATATGGCATATGCTTCTCTCTCTTTTTTAGTTTCGCTTTTTCTCCGCAAAACTCTCCCCCCCTCCCTCATTTACTTTCAGTTCATGTACTGGTTCTTCCAAATCCAAAAAAAGTTAAAACAAGGACAAGAGGGTAAAGAAACATTAAAAATTATACACTTTTCAATATTTTAATAAAGAAAAAAAACTCACTGCACGACTTTTTGGACCGACGATTGCAAGTGAAGCCAGATACTCGCTTACGCCGGATATTTCTACATTTGCTTGCAATTCAGAAGCCGCTCTTTTCATCCAGTTGATATCACGCGATTCTCGTTCCGGATCCGATATCAGTAGATATTCCGATCTTAAGAGTAAGAATTTCAAGAAGCCAAAGACATAATTTTCAAAAGAAAGTTTATAATTCTAATGCAACAGTAAAAGTGTAGGACTGATACTCAACGCTAGCACGCCGATCGGCTAGGCCCTTCGGCTCTTCACTATACACCTCTAGCTAGTACCCACCTGTCCGGAAATATGCAAGTCACCTCCCTGGAAGTCCCTCCAAGTGGTCGTTTACTTTTGCACAGGTACAATTTCCTGAACGCAAAACCAACTGGTTGTTAGCACGGTGAACATATACTTTTCATCGATTTCTGCTTTCGCATAGTCACAACGTATTCATATATGCCGTTCATCTGGCGGGGATTCTAACTGTTTAAACTATTATGAGGAGGCACGACAAGCAACTTTTCTCCCACTGCGATCTTCGTCACAGCCAGCGTTCGTTCTTCTGTTTTCATCACTGTCCATGTCCGTATGAATTATAATAATTCATAAAAAAATTATCCGTTC